AGCTCCATCGGAGATGACCATGGCTCTGGGGAAGTATTCCCATCGGCTGGTCGGTCGGATTGGCTCGTCGACTAAGCTGGGTGCTTCGGGGATGCCGAATCCTCTGTTTGCGAACCAATCCTCGGGGCGGCTGACGCACAGCGCGACCTGGAGTCTCTCGCCGTCCTCTGGGGAGGGGAGCTCCTCGATTTTCTTTGCCTCCGGAGCCTCCGACCTGGGTGGTTCACCTCCCCGGGTGTATCGCTTTAGGTGCCCGTCTTTGATCAGGATTTCGATCGCGTCTTTGAGATGGATGCAGTCTTCCGTTACATGCCCGTGGGTCCTGTGGAACCGGCAGTACTTTGACTTGTCCACGTTGGGTTTGGGCGGCGTTGGTCGTGGAAAACGGACACCTCCCTGCACAAACTCGGTTTTAGCGCATTCGGCCAGTATGCGTTCGCGTGAAGCGACCAAGGCGGTGTACTCGGTGAACCTCCCTGCCGGGCCACGTGACTCGCGCTGTTCGCGGGGTTCGCGGTGGCGGTCATCCCGACGGCGATCCCCTCCTCGTCGGTGGCTCGAAGCTCCGTCGTCTCGGTGCCCGCGGGGGGCTTCTCTGTCTCGGGTGTCGCGAGCGGAGTTGGCCGCTTGTGTTTCCTCGAACCGGATGTAATGGGCGGCCCTGTCGAGGAAGTCTTGGAGGGACGTGGGCCGGTGTATGCCTACGGCCTCGTAGAATTTGGAGTCATGGCGCAGGCCTTGCTCCATTAAGTAGCGTTTCATTTCGTCAGAAGTCGTCACCTGTACGGCTTCCCGAGTAAACCTTTCGATGTATTTCCGGAGGGGTTCGTCGGGGCCTTGGATGATCGCCCCGAGGACTGCTTCCGTCTTCGGATGACGCCGGGACGCTGTGAAGTGTTTGGAGAATAGGTCCTTCAAGACCCTCCACGATGTAACTGATTCGGGCTCCAGGCTTTTGTACCAGGTCATAGCGCCTTTCCTCAGAGTCGTCGGGAAGAGTCTGCATTTAATAGCTCCCCGGACATTTCGGTAGTCGAGCATAGCCTCGATGTCTTCCAGATGATCGTCCGGGTCGGAGGTGCCATCGTACGTTGACAGCGTCGGTGGCTTCTCCATTCCTTGGGGTATGGGTGCTGCCATGATCTCCCGGGATAGTGGGGTGCGGTAGTCATCCTCGTCGCTGTGCGCCGGGGATCTCAGGGGAGATGAGCCGTTCGCGGTGTGTCCCGGGTTTCGGGCTCTCGATCTCCGGCCAGAGTTCCCGCCTCGGGTTTCATCGGTTGGGGTCGCCGCGGCGTTCTGGTTCCTCCCGCGACCGTGTCTTGCCGGGGATCTGGTGCGCTCCCGTGTCGCTTGAGGGCGGCGTCTCTCCAACCGCGGTCGGCGGTTCCTGGGTCGAGGTGAGGGGCTCCTCGATCCTCCGTTCTGGTCTTCCCGCTGGGGGTACCTTGGGGAGCCGCCGCGTTCCAATGCTCCAATTCTAGCGTTCTGTTGGGACAGCAGCTGGTTCGTCTGGTTGATGGCTGCAAAGAGAGCGGCTACCGTTGGGTCTGCTCCCGCTGGGATGGGAACGGGGTGGAATGCTGGTGGGCTCGGGGGGAGGTGGTCGGCGTGTAGGGGCCGTTCCTCGGACGATGGCGAGGCAGTTTGCCCGTCCCTTTCGTCGGCTTCATTCAGGCGTGCCGTTCCTACCTGCTTCCCGTTGGTGGTGGTGTTGGGCGGGAGATCGTGCGGAGCGTCATCGCGGCGTGGGCTGGCCATGACCGTGGAGGTTTGGTGAAACTTTTGGTTTTTCTGCTCGGAGTAACGGGGAAGTTTCAGTTCCCACAGACGGCGCCACTGATCTGACCTGATCAGGAGGGATCACGGACTGGCCACACCTCGCTGGACGGTTATCTGTTCGCCGAGGTAAGAACGAGGAGGGGGGTGTACCTGCAAAGCACTCCGACGCCCAAGTAAGAAGTTGGACAGAGAGGAAGCAATGGTACAGAAAAGGGGCAAGAAGAGAGTTACCTGACCCTCTTGAGGAAGATGGTATTTATAGAGAGACCCCAGCGCTGGGCCAACGGTCATTCGAGGTGGGCCAGACGACCAGGCCCAACCCTAATGACTGCTAGGGCTTACGTGGCGTAGTGAAGACCAGGACGTGGTCTTCGCCCTAGTCCAACCGCTCCTAGGTCTCCGGAAAGTGGGTTTGACCTGCTCTTTCGGAGGTGGATGGTTGGCCGGTGACGTGTCCCCGCGGAGGGGAGCACGTGGAGAACGTGCGCCGAGCACGTTATTCTCCCGCGGAGGGAGCCCGGGTAGTCTTGCTCGTCCGGTGTGACGGGCGACAAAAGGGGATGTGGTGTGACGGCTTGTGCTCGGCGGACGGTCCTGCTCGTCCGAAGGGGCGTGTGTCAGGTGTGCTCAGTTCGCCTGTTGGGCCGTACTTGGTATTGGGCCTGCCGAGGTGAGGCCCACACCGGAACACTATTTATTCATTCAACTCTTGTAGGCTGTCATCCAACTTACACAATCTGTATAAACTATCTTTCTTTTCACAAAATTATCATAACAGTGGTAGGGAGAAATACATTGGTAACCATACACTATAATGGTTCCATTTTCACTGGTCAAAATGCCAGCTTCTCATTCAACGGTACAAATACAATGATGTTCAAACTTCATCGCAGTTCTGATCTTTTTCATTTAAAAGAACGCATAAAAAAATGTGCAACGACCAGTTCTTGAAATTATTTATCGCCAACCATTACTTGATAGAGATGATGGTAGTGTGTTCTACGTAATGAAGCAGATAGATACAGATGATTCAATCAAATCAATGTTCCAGTGTCATTACACAGTTCTCATTTGAACAGGATTGAGCTATATGTTCGCCTTGATAGAGATGATGAGTTATATGTTCTCATTACACATTTTTTTTGGTTCACCGGAAGACTTTTTGCAAGTCTTCCGGTTCACATTTTTTTTGTTCACCAGAAGACTTTTTTTTTTAATATTCAACTTAACAAATATTTTAATATGTTATTTATTTTAAAAAACATACAGGCTCTCCTCCACCTTCAAATTCTTCCTCCCAAAAACATAAAAAGTTTAATTCTTTAATCACAAAATCACTCATCTTCTCAACCTCGATATCTCTCAAAGCTTTTTGAACAAGCTTCAAAAACTCCTTTACTAACTAGTTTCCCTTTTTCCCAAATAAATCCTACGGTTAAAATTCTCAATAATAGATTTATGCCACGAAGGCCAAAAATCCTTTTTTCTCATTATTCGCCTAAAAACTCTTAAACCCTTAAATCAACCTTAAATACACTGAAAATCACACATGAAAAATTATGAAAGGCTATACTCCCTATACCTTAGTTGTCGATCAAAGCCTTCTCAATCTTTCAGGGAAAAATTATGAAAGGCTATACTCCCTATACCTTAGTTGTCGATCAAAGCCTTCTCAATCTTTCTGGAAATCTCTCGAAGCTTCTGCTTCCAATCTTCTCCTCAGAGCTTTGTCCTCAATACTTTTCACGATTAACAAAATGAATCCTAATTCCCTTCCGAATTCATTTTTGTCAAACCTAGTCTTGGGGCACACAATTGAGATTTTCCCATAACACCTTTACTAACTCCTCTTAATGCTCAAATTACCCTTATTTCACTTCTATTTATTTTAACTAATAATAATACTAATATTTCCATATTGTATACTATTAATTAAATAAATAATCCAAAAATGCATAATTTCCAATAACCCACAAAACCACTAAAAACCACCAAAATACGAATATTCTCAAATAAATAAATAAATTAAAATATTCCAATTAAATTTGGGGTGTTACAGATAACTCTACAAGCACGAAGCTGATTGGAGTCACAATTACTTGTCTAAGTCATATGAAATGTGTTTTTCCTTTTCCTATCTGGTAGTATCCCTTATATAGCCACCTCGTCTGATCTCATATTTAAGAATTATAAAGATTATTAATAGCTATTATATCCATTGTTCCCTTGTATTAATCCATTTTGAATGTGTTGTCTGATTTCTTTCGCATTGGTTTCGGGTCAATTTGATCAATCTGAACCGTTTAATATTTTAACTCGATTTATTTCTTATGGACGGAGCTATGAATTCGGGACAGAATCTATAAATTTTAGATAAAAACCTAACAAAGAGACCAAAATATACATAGTCTCTTAAATATGAAGTCTATAAAAACAAAAACAAAATACTTTAAGTGAAAAACTCAATTATACCGTAACATTTTATTGTTGCGTCATGTTTATAGCACCATTGATTGCGAATATAAGCACATACACACTTTGAAGAAAGAGTGATTGCACCATTGAGAATGCAATATTACGTCAAATATAGGATACCACATATTCCAAACACAATAAATCAATTTCATTAGTTATTTATGTAATTTTGCTATTTTATTATTTTAATTTATTTCATATATATATATATATATATATATATATATATATATATATATATATATATATATATATATATATATATATATATATATATATGTTTTTCTTATGTTTGAATAATAAAGTTCCAATTCCATATTTAAATCCATTTTTAGAAGTTAAAATATTGAGTTAAGATAAAACACATATTTAATGTAATATTTGATCTCATAAATTGAAAATTACCATCAGATACCCCAACTAAATTTAATGTTGAACAACTAGAGTTAATGAATAAACTGTTTGTTTAAACTATCACACTTTTATTAGTTTAGTTTCAAAATATTAAAATCAAGCAAGTAGAAGTCAAGTAAGTAGAAGCAGTGATAATTTCATCGATCAAAACGACGGTATTATTCTGTACACGGCGAAGGAAACGACAATGATTTTTACTAAATTCCGAGTCACACAATCCATCTTCTTTCTCTGTTTTTCTGGTTTCTACTATATTCCTTTTCCACTTCCATTTCCATTACAATAACCCTAAACAACGCACACCACAACCCAACCCTAGAACCATCCACATGGCGCTCACCACCAACTTCTGGATTCTCTCCTTCCTTCTCTTCCTTATCGCTTCCCCACTCCTCCAAGGTCTAGATCTCCTTTCCATTTTCTCTATTTTTTCAATCACCCTCGTCTATTATCTCATGATGATTTTCTAGATTATGCGTAATTTCTTACTTTTTTTTAGTTTAATCTCGATTATCTGCTTCCAGTTTTGTTAAATTTCAAATTTGTTTTCGTTTTGTTTTTTTGGACTGTGTTTGACTTTTTTTTTTTGGGATTGTGAGTTATTAATTCGGTGACCTAATAGATTTTAATTTAATGCTATGTTTGTATTGTTTTCAATTCTCAATTTACAGTAAATGCTTATGATTTGATTTTACACTAGTTTTTTTTTTTTTTGGGTGTGGCCAAAGCAAATCCTTCAATCCTCATGCATTTGTATCTGTTAAGAGTCAGATAACTGTGAGAATGAAATGTGAATAACCTTAACTGATGGATGGAAATCAATGAAACAGTGCACAGATTTAATACAACTTTATTGCTGAAAATAGAAACTACTATGGAAACAATTTCATTTGATTTACTGAAATCTCATAGACATAGATACTGTGTCTTGCTGTTAGCTTTCTGTACATTTTTTGGTGTTTTATGTATATGTGTGTATTCATTGAAATGACCGATGATCGTCATTAAATGTGGTTCTTCTTCTTGCTAGTTGTTAGATGTCAGTCAGATGAAGCTGCAGAGAATGCGGGTGAAGTGAATGACATTGGAATTGTTGGTGATGAAACTGATGATGCTCAAGACTTTGCGGATGGAGGCTTCCCTTCTGCCCCGGGAATTGATACCATCTGTGTCTTCCCTAAGAATATTGCAAGATGTAAAGATCTTGAGGTTTGGTTTATAATGAGTTATCTCCTCAAAATCACTTGTTAACGTTTTTTTTTGTCGTTCATTTGATGTAGTGGTAAAAGGTGGTGAAGAGGCAGAGCTGCTTGTTGGTCTGAAAAATGATGGTAACTGATTATGCTTGTCACTATTAATATTATGCAGCTACTAAGCATTTCATTTGTGTCTTGACAAACCTCTAAAACTCAACATTCCTTAGTGTTTGATATTCAGTTATATAATTTATTGCTAGGGTTAGAGCCCATCAAAACAAAAAGAAAGAATAATTATTTGTTTCTTAAATTTGTTTTATTAATTGAAAACAGGGCACTCGAGTTTGAATGTTGTTGCAATTAGAGCTAGTGTTCACCTTCCATTTGATCGTCATCTTCTTGTTCAAAACCTTACTGTTCAGGTAGAAATTGGTTACTGAATGTCCAAATTAAATCTGTTTATATATATGTTCAGTAATTATTTCAGTTCTCAACTATATTACTCTCATGGAAGCATCCTCATCGGCTTTTATTTATGTTTGTTACCTGTAAGAATCAATATAAATTTGATATATGTATTTTGGTTAAGCTCGGAAAAAATTTGTGGTAACTGTTTGTTATTATGTATGTCACATTTGCTTAGTGGATTAAAGTATTTGCTATATTTGGGTTTTCAAAATCTCAAAGATAATTTTTGCTTTAGGGGTATGTTTGGATGGGAGAGAACTTATTTTCTATTCTAAATTAAGGAAACTATAAAATGTTTCTAAAAATGAATTAAGTATGATTGAAGTGTTATATATGATCATTTATCATGTTATTCTTTCAATTTGTTTAAACTATCAAATATTTACCAAAATACAAACTTAGCCCTCTAAAATCTTCCATCCAAACACACTTACATTTATACAAAGGCATTCACAGTATTTTTTTTTCATTCAAGAATGGATTTTAGAGCACGAAGTTTTGTTTTTTTAGTCGAAAAGAAGTAATAAGGGGGCATCCACATTGGGTCAAGCAAGACACCACATATTCACGTCCACTTTTCCAATCAATGTTGGACTTCTACCTTACACTTGTATCACAACAAATACTACTGGATAGAACTATGCACCAGGGGTAGCAGTAAAATATCCTCAACGGCTTAAAAAAATTAAACTAAAGAAACAAAGGGAAATTGTGAATGCAGAAGAGATGGCCAATTCATTGAGTTTTTTATTCACGCTTCTACGGGCTAAGGATGTTTAGCATATTTTTATATGATCCTCAGATTCAACATCCTTATACTGTCTGTTAAAATAGGTATGAGGATGATTCTTTTGGCTTTGTTTTCTTCCCTTATATTTCCTTCAGCGTCTCTATTCCATAGTATCCGGTAGCCTGTAGCTCTGTTAGATTGGTGATGCCCAACCATTTGGCTACATAGATCTCCAAGTCTATTTGGAAGTGTGATGCAATTGCTATAAACCAATAACTCTATCAAACTTATTATAGTTACTATTTTGTCTGTGTGGTTATGCAACTTCTTGTTGGTGAATCAGTTGATTAGGATTCCGTGATACTATTTATAGTCAAGAGTATTACATAACTGTGTTGTGTGTATAATTTCAGGTTTTCAACAATGGCTCTGTGCCATCATTAGCTCAGGCTACTTTCCCATATATATTTTCTGTCAGCAAATTCTTGCAGGTATTATTTACTTTTTGCAAGATTGATGCTTTGAGTTTATCAATTAGTAACATTCAACAACATCTATATATGTCATGCCTGACCACTTCTTTTTCTGTGCAGCCTGGACCGTTTGATCTTGTGGGCACCATTGTATATGAGATAGACCAACATCCATACCAAAACACCTTCTACAATGGAACAATTGAAGTTGTTGAGCCTGGTGTTTTATTCAGCATGGAATCTGCTTTTCTTTTTACTCTTGGAACTGCACTTCTCGTCCTACTTGGGCTATGGATTAATGGTCAAATACAGAACCTTAAGGTAATCCATTGGTTTCTATTTTTCAAAAAATAATTCCATTTACCCATGAGTAATATTTGTATCCTCCTGATTATTTGCACGTAAATATTTGCTCAGAAACCAAAAAGATCTTCCAAAGTTGAAGTTGGGACTAAGACTACAGATGCTTCAATGGATGAATGGCTTGAGGTGTGTGCTAATGCTTTACTGTCTGTGACACTTATTTCTAAATTTGTATGTGGTGTTCCTCTATCTGATTTTTGATATTTGTTTCCTCCCTTTCCCTTCTTTTTGTACTTTTGCCCTGAAATTTGCATATCTAATTATTGATGTAACGGTTACATCACTGATTTGTTGATACTGCTTTTGTTAACCTGCATTTTGGTATTCAGGGAACTGCGTATACTCGGTCTACGTCAAGCAAATCTAAGAAGAAGTAGACTAATAACTCTTCTCTAGCTCAGCCCTGCGAGGCTGAGACCCTTCCACGGAGTACAGAATCATGTAATAGACTAGGTTGGAGAGAGAGAAAGAAGTTCTAAAATTTAGGTTGGAAAGACCAGTCTTTGTGTTGTAACTTATATGTAGCTGACGAGAGCATTTTTATGGCTATTGTTTTTCTTTGCACTAAGTTGAGCTTTGTCCAAGAAAATACTAACAGGGATCTGAGTTAGTAATACCATACGACTTTGAACTGGCCGAGTTTTGTTGGATTCTGTTAATTTGATCTGGATTTTGATAAATTTTAGACCTTCTCGCCATTAATCTCTCTTTTATTTTTATTAGAGTAATGTGTGGGGTTCATTATATACATTCTTTCTTGTTTTAAGAACCCAAAGAAACAAGTCCAGTGGAGGAAAGAGTCCATAGTTGAAGCAAAATGATCACAACTGTCCTTGTAAATAAACTTTTTTATGATTCATGCCTGAATCCTTGCTTAATTTATTCCTTTCTATACCCTAACATACACATAACAACTCTTTATTTAGGGATTGATTATCACTTAATTATCTACTATGATGAAGACTTGGCTACAGAGCTGTCATTTACTAATAAGTCCATTAAAGCATTTGTTTTAGGTCCTTAGTATGTTTTTAGTTTTGAATGTTCTTTATAAAAAATGATACACATGACCACTTGAATTTAGGGATGAAAGAAAACTGTAAATGTGGGTATCCTGTTAGAACATAGTTTGGTTCTTAATAATATCTCTATGTTTTGATGATAACTATTATGAAATTTTGTAATTAAGAATTATATACTCTAAAATTTGCTCAAGAGTTTTTACTGCAGATAGTAAAGGAATTATCACTCTATAAGCAAATCAGAACTGAACATAAGAAATATGCTAGACTCTGAAGCGCCAGATGCATCCATTAGAAGATTCTGAATGCTGCCAACAGAAGATCCTGAGCGTAGCCTCCAGAAGGATCTGAAGCAGAAGCTCCAGAAGGATCTGAAGCAGAAGCTCCAGAAGAATCTGAAGCAAGTCAGAAGCATCTGAAACAAAGAAGAATTATGTATGAAGAGTTTTCAAAGCATAGTTACTACAGAAGATTCTGAAAGTACTAAAGCTGCCAGTACTGAGGATCTGACTCAAATATGCTCTGAAATTAAACACGCTAAAAGCACACCTGCTGCAGAAGACTCTGATTCAGCAAAGCTCTGATCAACGTCAGAAGGCTCTTATGAATTTAGACTCTGATGGAACCTGCTGAAAATTGAAGAAGAATTATTCAAAGATTATATCTGTTGGAATAATCCAAACGACTCTTTCCTTATTTATGCTAGACACAAGAACACAGACAAAAAGGATTTATCTGTGTTTTCTTCTTCTAGGAAAGGTCACTTGATGTGAAGACAAAAAGACTCAGACCTTTTGGACACTCTTCTCAACGTGAAGCTCTCTTGGATCAGCTGCCTATAAAAACAAGTCTTCACCATCTTCTTCACTTGACGTTTTATCCAAAAAGAAATCAATATTCAAAGCTCTCATTTTATTCACATTCTTTCTAGAATTTATTTCTTTATTCTTAACTTTAAGTGAAAAATCACAGTTGTGATAAAGCTTGATTAGAAGCAATTTAAACACTTGTATTTGTTTTTTTACATTTGATTGTAAACCTTAAGAAGATCCAGTTAGGATCAGTAGTTCTTGAGAAGACTTTGAACAGTTGTTCTAAGTGCTTACTATTGTAATCAGTTGATTAAATAGTGGATTAAGTCCTTGATTGATAAAGACAAATCACTCTAGGAAGGGTGGACTGGAGTAGTTGAGTTCAATGAACTAGGATAAAAATACTTGAGTTGTATTTCTAAGTTTTAATCTTTATACTTATTCAACCCCCCCCCCCCCCTCCCCCTTCTAAGTATTTTCTCACCTTCATATCCGTGATAAAATATGCCATGGATACGGGTCCGATGATTTGATGATTTATTGGGTGTCAATGGGTAAATTTAGCAGGTATTTAATTATGAAAATTATATCCCATACTCTTGCATTTATCTCTCTACATTTACAAATTAAAAATTTGAATCAAAATACTTTTGTATAAATATTTATACTTTAAAATTTTCACTTTTTCCCCCTCATTTTAGAGAGCGAGAGCACGTGAAAATCGGAAATCACATAGCTAAGTTATTCATTTTCATTACAAACGGAAGAACTCAAAAGCTGAGTAAAATGAATACATCGGAATGGGAGCGGGGTACATGTAAAGTACATGGGATTGCGAGAAATAAATGGGATCATTGTTAGGTAGTCCAAGAGGAAGTTGTGTGCGTGCGAGGTGTCTTAAACTGAGTCACAAACAAGAGTCGGACAAAGTCTCATTGCTAGGGTTTCTGTACCAAGTTTATACTCCATGTCTCAGAATAGTAACCACAACCCACCAATTAAACGTTTTTAGGGTTTGGATAGTTTTATCATGTTTTTGTGTTTTTTGAATAATATGATCAAGATATGAACAAGATGACAAGATATGAAAATATGTACAGTATGATAATATGAACAAGATATATTGACAGAAAAATAAAGTAAGAGTATATTGGACATAAATTAAGTTTAGTTGTTAATGATTAATCGTTAATTGTTAATTGTTCGGATGAATCGCTTTCGAATCGGGTCCACTTTAGCGCTAAACCATCGTAGCACGATCTATGATGAAGATCATGCTATAGGAGGCCGCGCAAAAACGATGTTTGTGCTAAAACACGATGGAGAAACGATATGTAAATCATTCACAACGAATCGTGCCGCACGAAAAGAAAAGCGGATAGTCTCGTCTTAATCACAAACTTGCGTCGATTAATCGAAGGTAACCTACCACGACCCGAAAGTATAAAAGATGATCTCAATGATCATTTTTTACAGATTTGAAATAATGAAGGTTAACGACTTCGATAATCAACATTCACGATTTCTAGACTTCATGGACCAAGAGTCTAACATAAAATCGAAATGAAAAAGAAACATTAAGACAGTTAGGCAAATGATTTATAAGATATTAAGAATTATTATTCTTAAAAAAATTTAGAAAATAAAATAGTAATATTAAAACCAATTTAAGAAAATAAAACATAAAAAACAAAAGGGAAGGGGTGCACTTAAGTATGGGAGGTGAGTATAGTACGCCGTACGCGTCTCCCCAAGCAGGATGATTCCTCCTTCTCCAGCAAGGTTCGGCAGTCTCTCCCCGCAGAGTCCGAACATGATATCGTAAGCATTGATATGTTCCCCCAGGCAGAGGGGATTCTCTCCCCAATCAGATGTATCCCGAAGGAATGTCATCTCCCTAGCTGAGTCATATACTGAAGTATGCAGCAATTGATAGCTCCAGACTGAAGTCCCCAGCGGAATTAGGATTCCCCACAGAGTCGTACTCTTCCCCGAGGCAGGATGATTCCTTCTTCCCCAGCCGAGTCTGCAGAACCCCAAGAGAGCCGAGTCCTCGGAAAGCAGTTCGGGCCATGATTGGTTGTCCCCAGTAGAGTGTTGAATAGCTGATGCCGTATTTCCCCGCCGGAGTCGTCATCTCCAGGAAGGTCGGCTGCGAATGCCGTGCAGTTTGTTTCCGCGATTGACATCGTTTTCCTCAGCAGGTCCAGGTTCTCGTAGAGCTTCGTTCCCCTGCAGCAGTCAACTGAAGTTTGCTTCCCCATGCGGAGTCCGATTGAGATCGGCGTGACCTTTTCTCCGTGGCAGGATGATTCCTTCCCCCACCAGAGTGGTTCTTTCTCCTTGACAGGAGGACTCTCCCTTCGGCATTTATTTTGCTGGCGGGATCGCATCATGTTGCATGATTGCATAACATTTTGCATGAGTACATGGCATTTCCACCGTGTGGAGCATTGCGCCATTGTCAAAGCATGTGCATAATAAGCATGATCTAGGTCGTTACCGTTCGTGTTTTGCAGGTGTTCCTCCGCGGAGTCGCTTGCTCACGATGATTCTTGAATTCTCCCCAACGAAGTCGGTTGCTCGAGATGATTCTTGAATTCTCCCCAACGGAGTCGCTTGCTGACGATGATTCTTGAATTCTCCAGTGAAGTCGTTTGCTTAAGATGATTCTTAAAGTCCCCAGTGAAGTCGAAAGAGTTGGCTGCTCAAGTTGACGCTTAGAGTCTTCGGTAGAGTGTTTGTGCAGGATGGTTCCTGAAATCTCCAGCATAGTTATTGGTCCAGGATGATTCTTGAAATCCCCACGGAGTTATTCATTCAAGATGATTCTTGACTTCCTCAGCAGAGTTGACCTACCCAGAATGATTTCTGAATCCCCGAAGCAGAGTTACTTGATAGTTCTCCAGAATCCCCAGCGGAAGTGCGTCGTCCCCAGCAGGTTTCTGAACGGCGAAGTTGAAACTTCCCTCGAAGACTTGATGATTGAAGTCCAACCGTATTGACGAAGCAGTTCTCTCAGCTGATGCAGAGTGCCTGATGACAAAAGTTTGGATATCCCCAATTGGTTCATGACTGACCGAGTATTCTATTCCCGACTTACTGATGAAGTCCGGCTGACGCCCAAAGATTTCTTCGAATGCCCGACGGCATGGTTAACCTGATTGTAGACCTGATGAGTCTCGAGGAGAGCCGATGCCTGACGGCGTGATCGACCATGTATTACCGGTTACCGCGTGACCAGTTCCCCGGCTAGTTGTCGTGCAGCTAGTATTTCAGTTTTCGAAGATTCGTTCTCATCAGAGTACCGTGTACTTGTGCAGTTGGCAAATTTCTGGGTTTGTCGGTATTCAACCGTCTCGCACCTTGATTGTCTGAGAGCCGTTCGCTTCTCACCTAGTCAGGTCCGAGCCGTTTGAATAGGGGCAGCTGTTGCACCCCAAAATTTGACCAACATTTCTTTACCTGGCTTATGTTTCATTTCATTAGCATTATCATTTGCATTTCATTGACATGTATGCAGGAGATCAAGAGGTATGATTA